TGTTCCCTTATAATGAAAAAAATTATATGACATTTGTATCGCGCAAATCCGTAACACAGTCATTGCTCTATGCGCATTGTATAATATGCATGAAAAACATGCATGCACACATACATGCACATACATGTAATAATATATGCACTAAACAATAATAGGTGTCACGACATGGTAGAATCAAGGGCTCGTCAGTTTTGAGGCACACGTAGTTATTGATATCATCTTAAAGCCTGTCAATTTGCCTTCCTTTTGATGAAGACAATATTCATCTATGCTGAATAGAAGTTGAAATATTTGTTTTTGAAGGAGGGGGGGTCACCTGATTTCAGAGGTAAATTTAGTGAGAAAACGGCCGCCAAAGTTTGGTAACTTCAATAGCTTGAGAACCTTTAAAACTGAGAAATCACAATTTTTGTGTATGTAATGAACGTTTTTCAGCATGGACGTAAAAGATGTTTAGCGCGAAAAAAAATTCAATAAAAGTTCCCAAACCTGCGGAAAAAATGCGTTTTTTTCACTTTCATTATTTTGACGAGCGCCTGATTTCACCACGCTGCCTCACAATTAGAGTAAATCATTCAAGGAAAATATTGCATACACACTCTTTCTTACTAATAAAAAGGAAAAAAATTGAGACTCGTGTCTACGACAAAAGCGCTTTAATTTAAAAACAAACAAAAATTAGTGGAATTCAGATAAAGTCAACACCCTGGACAGAAAAAAGTGTTGACTTTTATCGTTTGTACTACTGGCCATTGAAAATTGAAGATGACAGCTACAAAATTACAAAGTACCTGGTAATAAACAAGATGTAATCTCAATTTCAGGGAGTATAATTCTGAAATTGTCACCAAAACAAGAGATAATGAAAGAATGAAGTACATATATGTAATTGGAGGTGTGTACACCGCTGGCTCAGGCGAAATATCTCTTCTAGAATGAATTCATCTTAGGATTTAGCCCCAAATTGTTGACGTTACGAAAGGTTAACACTCAAGCGGTTGACTGTATCAGAAACACAATTACTTAAACAAAGAAGGTGAGAAACGGGACTACAGAGAGGTGTTGACTGTAAGCAAGAGTTGACTTTAAGCAAGTTGACTTTATCAGGATTCCACTGTATCTCTGTTATTACTGATCATTTATGCTGAAAAAAAAGTGAAATTAGTTATCATCAACAAATGCAGAGTTCATCATAATGTCAAAAATATTTTTTCACCTCACAAAGTGTAATATTACATTAGTTCAAGATCCTCCCCCCCTTTCTTACACTTTTCTTACAGGAGCCAAAGCCCCCCCCCCCTCCCAGGCGTAAGATTATATTTGAACGGCCCCTAAGTCCCTTTCCATGCATCTCCCCCATGTTTCCCATGGCCTACCCCTGCCTCGTGCTCCTTGTGGGTTCAACTGCAGCGACTGTATTGTGACGTTTCCGCTTTGCCTTCTGAAGGTGTGCCTCATCCATGGCCACTTTCTTAGTCCTCTTTCTATTTCTATATCCTTCTGTCCTGTCCTTTCCCACAGCTCTTCATTTCTTTTATGCTATCCTGCCATTCAATTCTTAGGATACTCCTCATACATCTGTTGATGAAAGACTTGACATTGGAATTAAAGAGTCGAATCTTAGTGCACAGTGAGATGTGGCTTGCTTTCCAGACATTTGATAATTGTTTAAGGGGGTGGGGTGGGGGGTGGGGGGTGGGGGGCTACACCCACAAAGTCAAAATTCGGCTCACAATTATGGAATTTGAGTTGTAGCCAATTTTAGCTTCCTCAGCCTCTCCTACAACTAGTTCATCACATAAGAACCCCCAAAAACCATATTTTCCCCATACCGGGCATTTTGTCACCGCCATTTCCTCATAAAGTCAGTATTTTATTTTTCTTTATCGGCCGTTTTCTCAAAACGCGACTTTTCACTATACTTTTTTGAATAACTCTACCTTTTTTCATTCAATCTTGATGAAATTTTCACAGATTGAAGAGAAGATGTACTACAAAACTGTGAAAGTTTTGATATCTGGAATAGATTTTTGTTGGTGGTGTCTGGAGTGTGGATTTTTACAGATTTTTTGAAAACTTGAATGCTACCTCAGGAAAATAATTCATTAAAAATTTTCTAATTCTTTTAGGAAAAAAACCAGACAAATTTTGAGATATAATGTTTGTAAACATGCATGCAAAAAATCATTCAATTTCCATGAGCGATAAGTGCGGTATTCATTACGTAAGGCAAGTAAACAAACTCCAATATGGCCGCCGTACCAATGGAAACGAAACTTTTTCTCAAAATTGATTGTGGATTGAAAGACTCCTTTACTATGCTTGCTATATGTATGACATTTGGTAAAATTCGGTCAAGTAATAAGCGAGATAGCATTCAGGTGTAGCCCCCCCCCCCCCCCCTTTAAATATTTACAATGCCTTGGCGGTTCTTGCTTTTACATATGCCCCAGTTCCACCTTTACCATCGATGACACTTCCAAGGTAGGTAAAGGAGTCCACTTCTTCCAGGTAAGTGTCTTGCTTCCACTGTCACCACAGGGCTTGAAACTTTTTCAAGCTTCACTACTTTCGACTTACCCGAATGTATGCGTAGGCCGACACTCCTTGACAGGCTGTTGAGTTCCTTGGTCTTTTCTTGCATCTGAGCATGTGTGTGAGAGAGTAGTGCAAGGTCATCAGTGAAGTCCAAGTTGTCCAGCTGCTGCCAGGGGATCCATTGTATTCCATTGCGGTTGCCTCTGGTGGCTTCTTTCATGACCTAGGCAATTGCAAGTATGAAGAGAAAAGTTTGTAGTTTTTTAGGCAATTTTTCTAAATTCTTTATTCACATTCCATGGCTCACAAAACAATCTCACCTCAACGATCTTTGTCGGAGATAATTGAGTTGGACAAAAAGAAGCCCAACAACACTGACATGCAATTATTCCCCATAAAGAAACAAAAATAATTTTTTACCCATAATGTTGCCTGGAACTTTTTCCTAACCACGCAAGCAATGAGCATACTACGTTGTGTTGCTTTTTTGTTGTTGTGACTTTCTCAATGATAAACTTTTTTTAGAAGCTCTAAAACAGCGTACACAGTAATCTAACATTAGAAGCTTCGTAGTATGGCGACAGCTGGGTATCTATTATTAGATCATGGTAGTGATAAGATTATGTAAATGTGCATTCTTTTGACAGATCGAATTAGTTACCTCGTCCTACCATTATGGAACAAGTCCCAATTGTCACATTCAAGTAGATTTATAGTGTGTTACATAAAGCCGGCCTATATACCACACACCATTAACCATTTCAAAAATGTTATTTTCGTGAGCCATCTTTCACACTCTATGTTTAATTTTGTTTTTGAATTGTCTTCTATTTTTAAACAATTATTCTTCTCCTTTTTGCGCAATGGGGAAATAATAAAGATTAACACGACATGCAGGGTGACGGTGCATAATATTATTATTCCGAGAAAAATAATTAGTTACAAACGAGCTCAGAGCTTCTCTCCGTAACGGCTGTGATGCAGTTATCAAAGAATGAAATTCCGCTTGACAAAAAGTCACCTCGTCAAAAAAACCCAAACAAACAAATAAACCCCCCCCAACCCCCCCC